ACTACTGGCTGAGTTGGACCAATCATCTGATGCTGACCTAACAAATTTAGGGACACATACAGTTCAGCAGTTTTGTAATTGTGAAGATCAGTCTGAGCAAGATATGTAATTGATTTATTTAACTACATCAACATAAACTGGTGCTGTTACAGTGTGTGTTTTCATCTTCTGTGAAAGACTACAGGTAAGCACTTTAAATTGTGGATTTTATAAATGTTTGTGTGCAACTTACCACCACAAGATTGTGTTAGAAAAAGGAGGACGGCAACAACATGATGCAAAACCAAGAGATGTTTAATCTTTATAGGACTCATTCTAGATGTCTGCAACAAAAAGCATAGCAACACACACTTTTTATATTAAGCCATTCTCTGATAGAAAGTAAATGAAACAGTCCAAGACTGATTTGTAGACTGTCACGGTAATATCACATTTGAAAAAAGTATTTAATTATGTTAAATTTATTTGTAATCATTTGGAAATGCGCTCCTTTCCAGGAGTAACAGTAACAAGAGAGATCAAGAACATTGCAGGAAATCTGGACAAACTGGGAATTGTTGACTTTTTCTTCTTATCTCTTGATGAGAGCTACCATGTCATCTGGACACAGCCCAGTTACTCATCTTTACGAAGTCATTATACTACAAGCAAAATAACAAAAGCACTTTTTAATAAATCAAAGGTCTGTGAAAATTTGCACAAAAGTATGTTTTTGTTGATAAACAGTGATAAAACATTGGCTGTTGTATTGTGCCTCTTTCACATTTTCTGGTTGCCACATCTACTCTTACTAGTAACCGCTAAAGAGATCAAATTAATAGAGCGATGGAAGTAGAGAGACAAGAGACATAAGTAATATTGAGTTCAGTTTATCCATGAGGTCGTCCTCCAATAAGCTGTGTCTGTGCATAGGTCATGGTTTCTATTGTCCTGTTTGCAATTAATAGACTTACTGTCTATTTAATGCTGATAGAAGATATGGATTTTGTTTCAAATTGCAAACTCTCTAAGCAGCTACCAATAACAGCATGTAATTAAAAGTTCACATTCTAAATATTTATGAATGCACAAGTATCCAAAAATAATAATTATTTTACTTTCACTCCTTCACTACAAAAAATGTTTCCGCTTATGCACTCTTTGTGCCTCTGGTAACTGTAAATGCTCATGTGATTAATCAGATTTCATGTATTAAAAAAAACCTGCTAGATAATTTAGTAAGTAAAGTAAGTAAATAATCAAAATAAATAAAGAAGGAAATGATTACATTGTAGCTTATATGGTAAAAGTCTACATACCCGTTGAACTGCTTAAAACCATCCCCACAGCTCAAAGAAGGTAGGCTGTAATAAAACAATGTGCACTCTCAGCCCAACCCTCTGTTAAACAATAACCTGTGTTGACTTTATTATCAAAGGTCAGTTCTTTTCATAAAATGAGTTGAACTTTGTTTAAATGAACAAATGAATCAAATTGAAAGTTTAAGTCAAAGCTGTGTTTTAACAGTTGAATACGTTTCAACATCGTACATGCTGTGAGTTCCATGTTGAGGAGTTTAGGAATGAACAAGGACATTATGTTTGTGAAAGGTGTCAAATATAACTAACTGTGTACAAGGAGTGATATGAAACTGAGGGTGTAGTTTTATCAGTTAGTTAGTTAGTAGAGTGTTAG